CGGCAAACCGTCGAACCACAACAGAAACCTAAACACAAAATCCAATTAGTCGCTGGCCAATACCTTTGAATGTACCAGTTTTTATAACACTCACTTGGGGTCTTACACTGAGCCGGCTGGCCATTTGGTCCATTATTCTCACTTGATTTGGTCCCATATAGGAACAAAAGGAGCACTCATTCCATCTTAAAACAATTGTTTTCTGTAAGGAGTCCTCGAAAGCAAATACCATGGGGATGGTAAAAAATTATCCTTCCCTGCGTATATACAACTCGTAAGACCTTGCAATTCTTCCAAGCGTGTTCTGGATTACTGTTTTTCCACAAAATGGAAAGGATGGAATAAACCATCCATTACTACTTGAGTTACCCTATCTAAGGATCAAACCAAAGACACAAGGCCACCAACGTAAAAAATGATACCCTATTAAAGGCTCGAGATCCTCAAAACCATACCCTATCAGGCGGTACTTAACTATCTAGCCAATCCATATATGGGATTATCCCCAGCCCCCCGAAGACTTCACGTGTCACGTGGCAAGCAAACATGGATTTGGACGACGAATGCCAGGTTATTTATGAATTTTCTGTTGTTAAATGTTGCTTTTGTTATTTAAATATTTTTGAATTTAAACATGATTCATATCTTCTTGGTGATATGTCACAGGAAGTTTCATGTCTTTCATAAAAGCGTTTCTAGTTGGTCACGTGATTAATCAAGGCAGATAAATTCATAGCGGAAGACATGCATGTTTGACCAGAGAAAATGTTACGGAGATGTTACGTGCTAGCAGACGTCATCATCTTTGTTTATGAAGCACCTTGCATATTTTGGCATTATATTAATGTTGACGAAGTAAGTTGAATCACTCTCAAAAAATTATACCGATGGAATTATTACAAATTGCGACGGCTTAGTTTATTACGAAGTGCGATGGACTGTTATTACAAATTGCGACACCTTTTTTATCACAAAGTGCGACACGGTTTATTACAAATTGCGATGGATTTATTACAAATTGCGACTGGTATTACAAAGTGCGATGATTATTACAAATTGCGAAAGTTGAGAATAAAGGGAGCGATCACCTACCAACGCGAGAACCCCTGTGTCTTCTATTTAGTGCTAAAAATTCGTTATAAACAAATTTCAGACACTGTAAGTGGAGTTAAAAAAGAAAACGGTCTACTTTCATCATTCCTTTATAATTCAAATTAGCTGTGAAGACAAAACTCAGACACAGATTCTTTATTTCAGTCTTGATTGGCTACTGCAAAACGGTTTTCTCTTCTCTCTTCATTACATGACTGAACCATGATGCTACCTGACTCAGTTTTTAGTGCCTATAAAAATACTATAATTTTCATTACGCTCCCATAACCGCTATCATCGCTCGTCAGTTACGAAATGGTAAAATATAACAGTACCTGCAATTTCTGAAGACAGCGAGAGTGGTTTAGTAGTAGTATGGTTATAAAGACCTCTAGTATGTTTGTTTCCTTTAATCACTTGAAATAGTCGTGAACATCTGTGACAGCTCATTGCTGGCGCTCGTTTCAAGGTGTCGTTGAAGTCGGTTAATTATACGAGCACAGAAACGGAGCCGATATTTGAATACGACTTTCTCTACCTTAAGACCCCATGGACAGCTTTTACTGTTTTAAAACACAAAAAATAGACAACCACAAATGACTAATTGAAACACAACACTAATAATTGCTCACAATTAAACCACACATCTCAAATCAGCTGAATGACCCTCAAAAAAAACAACAAATAGAGTAAAATACTCAGTGACTTAAAAAGAATCTATTAAGAAGCCAAAAAGGGCAAACTAGCTCTCTCTTACACCACGCAAAATTTTTTACCAACCCCTCCCTCCTCCTATTTTATTTATTTATTTGTTTATTTATTTATTTATTTATTTATTGTCTTGCACAATGGCGCTGAGGATGTGCGCCTCAACAAAACTTTACAAATAAACACAAGCAAGAGTGTGATTTTCTTATGAGAAGGAAACATTTTTCCCCAGAGAGTACGACTATTTCAACAATCAGTGCAATATATTAAGCAGTTTACATATGCACATATTTTAGTCTCCCAGTAACAGTGCCGTAGCAAGGTTAATTTATTGGGGGAGGGGGAGGGGGAGGGGAAGGGGGGGGAGGCGATCACGAACGCTGAAGGGGTGTGTTCCCCGAAAGATTTTTCTGAGCCAGCAAATAACTGAGTATATAGATCCAAAACTGACCCACGCCATATCAGGTGATAGGAGTAACAGTCATGGTTGTTAAAGTACCCTTCTACTTCTTCTACGTCTTGCAGAGAACTGGGAAAAACACCTAGACTGTAAAAGAGTTGTTGGTGTCTTATCGTCCGATATGAATAAAGCATTCGATACTCCAGTCCGCCACTTATGGTCACTAAAACGAGCACATTACGACCCGCAAGGTCGATTTTCGTGCACGCGCTAGGGATCCTTAATTTCCAGGGAGATACGCACAAAATAAACTGAGCTAACTACAAGGCGTTATCCTTATAATTAGTTCACACATTTCCTTGCGCACTAGCCTGCGTGTCAGGCGTTTGAAAGGGAAGGGAAAAGGAGTTTTAGGCGCGTTGCCAGGAAGATGCCAGGGCCTTTTCCCACCCCACCTCCAAAGCCAGGGAAATGCGCCCTGGGGAAGAGGATGGTTTGTAGCTTCTTGCCGATCGCAACCATGTAGGTTCAGTAATACCAAAACATTACCCACACCGAGTTTACCTTGATTTTATTCCCATGGTCAGCTAACCAAACATGTCCAGCTTTGGCTATAAAAACCGCTACTATACTTTAACTAGTTAGTTTGGAGATTAAGGATTGAGTAGAGAAGAAGAGGAAGAAGATTAATGGGAATTACAATTGAACAGGTGTACCGGAAATTTATCATTTATCAGTTAATTATCAGAACGTGATGGATTATATATTCAATAAATAGGAAGTGCTTTATGTGGAAAAGAACAAGCACATCACGACAATTTATGTAAATAACTACATGTTTGTGTAAGGGGGTGTTTACATGACACCGGGGCGAGTTTACTCCGGTTCCCTCTCATGGCTCTATATTTGCTTACACGATACCACCACAAAATGCCATGCCGGCGCGAGTCACCCCCGCTTGAGTTGACCACGGTTCTTGTACCGCGGCGAGAATTTCACTCCGATACAAAATCTCGGAGCTGTATCATGTAAACGCGAAACGACCACCCGTTTCGGTGTGAAGTCGGTCTGCCGGTAGACTGGAACGGGTAGCGCATGCGTAATGTTTGCGATTTTGAATCACCCGTGTATTTTATCAACATGAAGTGTACTTTCAAATAACGAGATATGAACCCAGTCATCATGTAAACGCGTTTCGAAATCAAAAAGTCATCCCGGTATGAAACTCGCTCCGGTGCGAGTTTTCTCATGTAACCACCCCTTAATTTTGAACATCCCGTTTGTTATAGACTGTGGTGAAACATCTTTTTTTTTTTTTTTTATTATGAAAAGACATTTACAGGAAAATTTTTTTGAGGGGAGAAAACGTGACGACGTAGACGACGTTATGATGATACGAACATCTGTGAGCTCTTTTATTTACAGCAAAGAGATTGATAACTGGATAATTAATTGGCCCACAGATACCGCTTCGCCGATTTTTTCCTGTCCATTGAACGCGACTTGCTTCTGATATAATCTGTGACAGTCAAAGGGGCTGTGTCACGACAGTCCAGTTCATTTTGTTTAATTTTGCCAATTACTCGCCCTCAATCGCTATGGAACTTAAGGTAAGCAAAGAAATTGCATGGAAATGAAAAAATCAGAGATTCGAGACAAACAAATATGTATCCTAAGCATTATTTTTGAAGTTGCTTTCAATTTTGAAAAACTGTTAGGCTGAACAGTTTTCAAAAACCCTAATTTCAATCCGTTTCTATCTTCTTCAGTTTTGCCCATCCGTGGCATCTGTTGTAGCTGTTGTATTATTTTAACCTTCCTTTAATGTTTTAAGCGGTTATTTTTATGTTTCTGTTAATTTAACGGGCATTTTGTAATTACCTAATTTGGCTTTTCGTCACACAGCTCCTTTAATGCTGGTTTCACATGGCGTCATTAAAAATTCAAACTGGAGAATCGTCGTTCCTTCAGAGCTTTTACTTTCCTGAAATATTAGGGCAGCTAAAAACTAATATTGGGACAAATTTTCCCTTCGAAATATTCTTTTCCATTTGTGACAGTACGGCTGAATTTCTTTTCTTTCACGTGACGACCGTTCACATGGCGGCCGAGAGCGGCTGTCTTGTTGGTTTTGAAATGTGTGGTATTTCAGGAGCATCTTTCCGGTATGGTTTTCCTGCGGGTGCAATAGCTATCCGGCAAAGTATTAGCCTCATTTATCCTCCTACATCGCATTCCACCAAAACAGATCAGAGTTCCCAACTGAACACACTTGAAGCATTTCTTCATCACGTCTAATCTTTATTTGTTCCGGAGCTTCCTCAACATATAGGCTAATGTAGCTTTAAATGTGCTTCTATATATGTTTTTACATGCATTAAGGGTGTCTTCCATTTCTGTAATTCCTACCTGTTGCTGCTTACAAAGTTGGCTAATTAAATTTTGTGCATGATATCCCCCCCATTAGTAACGATTTAGCGAGATAACAACATTTTCTCTCTGATGACGTCTGAACAATGAGAGCAGAGCTTTTTTAAAGTCTGGCATCCTGATTGTGTATAAAATGGGATTCACAAGGGAGTTTGCAAAAAGCAAAAACAAAGATGAAAGAAACAAACGGAACTTTTCTGGGGGAGAAAGGGAATTAGAAATATGTGTTGACCAAACAACTAAACAATAGATAATGTATGGTACCCACAACAGTAAAGACACTGAAGTTGTTATAAATAACGTCACGGTCAGCTTTCTTTGTCTTAAAGCAGCTGCACAATGGCGCTGAGGATGAGCTCCAAAACGAAACTTAAACAGAATGGACGTGTAAGAAACAAAGGTAACAATCAAACACAAAAGACCGAAGGATACCGTTATGTAAAGGAAATGTCCATGTCAAATAAAGCATATCTACCACATGAATGACGCAACCAATTGCAGGAAAAACCCAGACAACAGTAATTGCTATCACGTAGACCCATCTCTCGATGAGCCGATGCCTAAATGGTCGAAACGTGGCGTGAAATCGCTCTAAAGAAATCACAACAATGTTTGTCAAGGAGACAAAAAGAAAGGATTTAAACAAAATCGCTAATGAAAATCTAACTTCAAAAGATAAATTCAATTTTATAAGGCGACATCGCCGTAGGAGATTAAATTGACCATGACCCGCGGATAGGACTCCAACCAACATGTCAGCCACGGTTAAGCTTATAACCAAGTACATGCTGCGAGTACGAAGGTTTCTGTTCTTTATAAAAAGAAGGATGGAAAGGAGATTCACCGTTACTATAGCAACAAACTCGGCGGTGAATACGGTAAACCAGATGATACACTCGGATGATGAAACAACCATGTTGAGTTATTTTCGTCGTTGGAGTTATTGTTTCTTGATTTTGTGTTACCCGTAACTGTTAACCTGTAAGAACAATATATAAACTTTGATCAGTATAAAGAAAGATCATAATTGTTAGACTCTTATTAATTCAAAATATTTATCCGTTTCTGATTGGCTATAATCACGTATAACTCATAGCTTAAATTAATTGGGAGAAGTTTGCGATATGTGGAAAAAATGACCTCAATTGTGCAGCAAAATTGCCAGATTATTCAGTAAACAGATAAAACTGGAAAAAGACAAAGGACGAGGTTGAGTTGTTTTGGTAATGAGTAAACAATGGCAGAACATCTCACTTGTTTCACGAGGAAGAAATAGATGAAATATAAAGTCAATCAAGCCAACTATGCTTCAATGTGGTTTAGTGCCGAACTTTCTCAAAACTCAGTTTCAGTAAAAATAAACTGTAGCAGTTCAAAAACCGATTTTTTTAGGCGCTTATTGGGAACTTAAGTTTGAGACCGTTTTACACGAAAAGTCAAACACATATTCACTGAATGTTTAATGAAAGAATAAGTCGCTGTTCATACATGTTTTTAAAAAAAAAAAAAAAAAACAGAAGCAGAGGTTCGAAAATGAAACTGTACGCCGCTGTGTTTTGTCTATAAGGCGGAACTGGCAGCTATTGTAATGAAGGTCTAAATTCATTTTTTAGAAGACGCAGTGCTGGGTTCAAGATCCGTTGCTTGCTTGTGGCTTAGCCACAAATTTGCCGATGAATTACCAAAAAGCTGCCGACGTAAGTGTCTAAACGTTGCCGAAAAGTTCCTATTATTATTATTATTATTATTATTATTGTTATTATTATTATTATTATTATTATTATTATTATTATTTGCTTGCGCTTGAAGTTGGTTTTTGTTGCGGTTTCGATCGTGCACAGTATAAGTAGGTTTTATTCGTATTTCCTTTTTTAAAGAAAACTTCATTGATTAATAGAACTCAAATTCAACAGTTGAATTGATCGCCCCTTCATAGGCACGTTCTTCCCAGCTGGACATTGTTGTCCGCCATTTTGTAAAACGGATCATGTGATACCACTTACCTCATGGACAGGCGTGCAACACCAAGCTGGCATTGGTAATTGGGCCAGTCCTGGAGTCCACACACTCACTCAAAAGTATAAACCACTTGAATTTAGCTTTTTTTTTTTTTTTTTCGATAGCTAATAAATGTCGCAAAAAAAATAAAAAAATTATTTAAACCAAAACTTGCCAAGAATTTTAAAAGTCGCCGAGAATCGCAAAAGTTGCCCAAAATCTCAAAAGCTGCCGAAAAGTTGCCGAGCAACTTGTGGCTTTGCCTATTGCTTGGACTCCTTCATGATCAACAACTCCTTTCAAAGATATCCCATCATAGATTTTCGGTTAAAAATACAAACGCATGTCAACGTTAATTTATGGCTTCTAATTGTCTTTAAAATTGACAAGGAGAAAATAAAAGAAAATGTATTGTGAAACTCGCGCCCAGCCTTGCGTTTTCTGGTCCTTCTTTTTAGTTTTTAAATAATTCAGAAAGTTTCTGCACCAACTATAAGTAAACGATAACTAAAAAACATGTTTAATGAAAAGAGATACATTTTTTGTTTTCATGATCAGAGATAAAGGAGTATTAGTAAAAAGACGCCGGGTTTTATTAAGAATAACACCAGGCTGCTTTCCGGACGTCATTTGGATTGCCATTTTTCTTTATTATTTGTTTATAGAAGAACTAGCTAAACCTCAAGGTCACGCACAAAAGTAGCCTTTAAGTTTTGTTATGATTTCAATAAGCAGGGTTTTCTGACAAGTTTAGCCTTCGTGGCAGACGTATCTTAAAGGACATATGACCCTTTATTCCTTGTGTTATACGCCTTCTTCTACCCTTCCTCCCCCTCTTTATAGAACCAATTTACAGCTTGTGCCTTCCATTTGAAAAGCTGGATTAGCTAATAGGTATTTCCTGTATAAGATCTCTACAAGACATAATTAAGACTAAAATAAAAATCTAACAATACATCCTCCTCAAAGGACAGAAACCTTTTTGGGGGACTCTCAGGTTCATTGACACTTTGTTTGAACTGAGTCATGAGCTTGTAGTATTAATACAAAGAAATTCCTCAGAAATGAAGCACTGGCCTACCTTATCAGTGAACTAGTCACCTGTTTAGACGCCGTCTGTTTTTCGTTATTAGTGGAGGAGACCGCTATCAACTACGGTTGCAGAAAAGAGAAGACAAAAACTTGGGGAGAAATCTAAAATAAAGTTTGATAAAGCCGTTAGTCCTTTTTAAAAAAATTAAACTGGTCCCTTGTGTTATTAAACTGTTCACCAAAGTTCAAATTTAGCTGACAAAATTAAAAGCAAGCCGATTTGTGTGTCTTCCGTGTTCACTTTAGAATATTAAGAATTTATATTTATTCTCTTTACCTAAATAATTCGATGCCAAATCGTATGTAACTTGACGTAACATTTTCTACTGGAATTACATTTACCTTCTTTTAAAAGGGCGCTGGCAGTTTAAAAAAATAAAACAGCAAAACGAAGACTGACCGGCGATATAAACGAGTGGAGCAAGACAAGGTCTATTGTATTCTGACTCAGTGTTTGAGTTTCTTTGTCGATCACAAAAGCACTTGCCACTGTTTAATACATTGCCTAAAAATGATAAGTATCTGAGCTTTACTTCTTAATACGTATTATTTTATGTGTAAAGGTGCTTGTTACCAGCTATGGTTATTTGCGATTTTTGCGAAATTTGAGGATCTCTCGAGGTCCTTCTTGGCCCGTTTTTTCTCTAAGTGTAGAATTTTGTCAAATTTGTTATTCGATTCTTGCTATTTTTGAGATATTTTTTTACTCGGTGCTTTTAGGTAGCAAGAAAAATCTTTGTTACTTTTGCGATTATTGCGGGATTTTCGGGCCCCCTTTTTGGCCTTTTCTCCTTCTCAGTCTAGAATTTTATTAAATTGGTTATTCTTGCTACTCTTGTGATATTTACAAGTGATTGCCTCACCAAATTTCCTGGTGAATCATTTCTTTGGCGAAAATTGCAAAAAGAATTTGTTAGCCAATTCTTGTTCACAAGATCGTTCCTGCATGGACATATCTCAACTCTTATGAAACTTCACTTATTCTACTGGAATTAAACTGTCTTACCTTCTTTAAAAAGGACGCTGGCAGTTTGCAAAAACGGCAAAATGAAGACTGGTCGACGTTATGAGCGACTTGAGCCAGATAGGGGCTAATGTATTCTGATTTGTTTGCGTTTCTTAGTCGATCACAAAGCACTTGCCACTGTTTAACATACTACCTCCTAGAATGATTGGCATACAGCTGTAGTATTGGTATATAAAAAATAGACAGTACTTCATTTTATGATATCCATTTTTAGTTATAGTTATTATCATTATTATTATTATTATTATCATTATTATTATTTTGTTTAGGTGCAAAGGTGCATGTTACTAGTAAAGGTTAGCAACGGTGTATGTTAGTGACACGATGCCAGTTATGTTAAAATTTAACAACAAAATGGAGACCGTGCTGGTGTTATGAAAAAGTGGAACGAGACACGGGCCAATGTAGTCTGACTTGCTTGTCTTAATTGAGCAACATTTGCGGCTCGCTTTTAATATACTGGCAGATATAATTACTTATTGCACTTTTAAATGTTTATTAATATGCATTTTTAGTTATACTTTTTACTGTAATTATTTGTTGCGAAAGGAAGCGAAAAGGTGCATATCTACGAAGAAAACAAGGGATGATTGGTGATGTAAAAGCTCTGTAATATCTTACTACGCGGCCATTCCACACTAAGGCTCCCTCCCGCCAAACCTTACTGTTTTTATAAATGCTTTTGTGGTGAATAACAGCAATCCCTCCATTAGCCTGCATGTAAGCCCTTCGGGGCGCTCTGGTGGCCGTGCGGGAAAAGAAAGTAGAGCTTACAACTACGTCTTTCAAGTGGAATTTAAATTCCGCCTCCAATTTCCCTGTGGCTCCTTGTCGACTGAGCTGTCAGATTTCCGCCTATCATCGTGAAGCGGAAACGAGCGCGAGTGTAAACAAACTGACGCGGTTAACTACTAGAATAATCACTAGCTAAAATATTCCAAAGAGGCAGTCGATTAGGATAGAGAAGGCCCACTACAAGCATTTTTTTTCTTATTTGTTGTGGGCTGGCTCTTACAGTTTTTAAACTGGTTTAAACGTTAAAAAGCCTGAATGAAAAAATAAATAAATACAAATAGTTTCTTATGTAACTTCTTAATGTGTTTTCTTCTTGCTTACGAAGATTTCGGATTTGAGCGGTAAAATGTTGTTTCACAGCTGAGTAACAGCCGGTTAACGATATATTGTAACGTTCACTTAACCACATTTAATGTTAGAGACAACTAAAAACCCTGCTTTGAAAGGTTGACCTGCTCTTTTTCTTTATTCCGCATGAAATGAATTGGCTTACAATTCCTCTTTTACAGAAATAAATTAAACTTCACTGTAATTATGGCACGAAATAGCGACAATTCAAACGCTGTATTTCAATTGATCATGAGGAGATGTGGTATAGTCATTTAAATATCTGTTTACTGCATGGTACTTACTGCCTTGAATTATTCCAATTTGATTGGTTTCTCTCTAATTACAGCTTAAAAATTTTCCATAAGTTAAAGTTTATGACTTTTTTTATTCTTCCAATTTTCCTACACCAAGGAAAATTACAACTGAACAGGTGAACCGGAAATTTATCATTTATCAGTTAATTATTAGAACGTGATGGATTAGATGAATAAATAGGAAGTACTTTATGTGGAGAAGTAAAAACACATCACGACAATAAATACAGA